ACATTTTATCGGAATTCATACACAGAACAAAACATACCTGGATTAATTTAATAACCCCATTCTTAATCACTGCATGTCACCTCTAAAACTTACCTGGATCACATTAATAAACCCTTCTAAACACTGTCACTTCTACAACATACCTTGATTTACTGACTGATTTTACTGACTTACTGTAATTTATGATCATCATTTATCTGTCTATCGTGTCTATAGCTTTTTAAGCTCATTTAACGCAATTTTTATTGAGGTTTGCACATTATTGATGGTAAAAAATTGTTTTTATTACAGGCAAGGATTCTTTCTAAAAATTCAAGAATATTTTCATGAAATTCAAGGACACTTTCATGAAATTCAAGCACTTTTCAAGCACAAAATCAACATTTACTAAATTCAAGTACTTTTCAAGAACCCCCCCTAAAATTCAAGGACTTTTTAAGGACTGTGCGAACCATGTGATACTGCTGCTGCTCTGCTGCTGCTACTGCTGCTGCTGCTGCTGTTGCTGCTGCTGCTGCTGCTGCTGCTGCTGCTGCTGCTGCTGTTGCTGCTGCTGCTGCTGCTGCTACTGCTGCTGCTGATACTGCTGCTGCTGATACTGCTGCTGCTACTGCTGCTGCTGCTACTGCTGCTGCTGCTACTGCTGCTGCTGATACTGCTGCTGCTGCTGCTACTGCTGCTGCTACTGCTGATTAACCCAGGTAAGATGGGTCATATGAACAAAACACAAGTCCGCTGGTTAGCATGTTGGCTTTGTCTTGTCTTGAAACTGATTTGCTTCATCTCGAACTTTATGTTTGCCAACATGCTAACCAGCGGACTTGTGTTTTGTTCATATGGGCCACCGTACCCGGGTTAATCAGCAGTAGCAGCAGCAGTAGCAGCAGCAGCAGCAGTAGCAGCAGCATGATCCAAGTTAATCACTGATGTCAATAGACAGAGAGGGGAGAAAGAGAGGAAGCAAATTGAATGTTTAAAAATAATTGCATATTTCAACAGGACACATCTCTAGATCAGCAGAGGCAGGTGTATGTGAGGCAGTGAATGCGTGCGTACCTTCCAGTTCCCCGGTGGATGCAGTATTCCGTGTTCATCTCCCCCACACGTGTACGTCACGTCAGGGCAACTCTTCACCTGTCGAAACATAAGGCTTATCGCTCCAATCATACATCAACAGAGCAGATAGAGGAGCTCAAGGAAAACGAATGCACTGGCGGATTGTTAGTCATGTCGTTTACCGCTAATCGGTGATGAAAATGACAGTTCGCCCAGTACAAGGCTGATAACTCGTCAGCAGAGCTGGTTAGTTTTTGTGCGATTTACGAAAGGTTATATAGAACAAATTGATATTTTTTAAAGCAGGGACTGGTTTGGTTTCTAGACAGCTGTCAGACGCTGCTGCAAAGCTAGATTACGTGATATCTAGACTACATGATATTTACTTTTGCGGTTTGTAAACGGCGACAAATAATACATCGTCAATTACATAATTGCCCACACAGTGGCAGCACGTGTTCACAGGAGTTAAAGCCTCCTCTGTCACACGTACTCATTTCTCCCTCCCTCCCGCGACACCCCAGCCCCACCCCCACCCCGCCGATGTCTGAAGAGCACAATATACTCAAGCCACCTCGCTTTTCCTAGGTACTTATAGGTATACTATAGCCTTATCAAGAATTCTGCCACCAGCCAATAGTCACGTTGATAGTACCATGAACACACGAGTGATATCTCGCCTATATTTACATGTCAAATCATGTCTATATAATAAACATCCGACTCACCAGTAGTTGGCTAAATGGTCAATATATCTGAAGAATACGAAATTATCTAAAAAAAAGTAAATCTCACTACAGGAAGGACATAGATTAGTGAGCTTGTGCACATACTCTCTCATCACAACACATCAATGGAACAAGGGTGCCGCATCGGCCGTGGCGAACGCGAAGAAGATGAACATACAGATAAAAAGCCAAACTTACTAGTGGTTCGCCGGAGTCCAAGCTTACTGCCTTCATGCCTGCATCCACAACAACTCTCTTCCCACTCTGCAACATGACATAGAAGTACGTGTGATTAATATGCGCACATGATGTAAGCTATACATGTAAGCAGGCTACATGCAGAGCAGTGCTAGATAGCCTTATAACAACGCACCATACACAACTAGTATGAATCCATGATCTTATATTCACAACAAGAGCCGCAGAGCGTCTGGGCTCATCTGAGGTCTGTTGCTACGGTTATAAACGTAAAATTTCAGTCGTGCGTAGTACCACATTTGTTAGGCGCAGATATGCAGACACGCAGTTGC